CCGAGCCTGCAAAGATGAAGTGAGAGCTGGGCGCTATCTAACAAGATGAAATTCAATGGTGAAAAAAGTAACGTTCTACGTTTAGACAAGAAAAATCAAATATACAGGTATAGTATAGGGGGTACCTTGCTCAATAGTAGTAACTGTGAGAGGGACCTTGGAGTCCTAGTGGACAATCACTTAAATATGAGCCAGCAGTGTGCTGCAGCTGCCAAAAAACCCAACACAGTGCTTGGCTGCATTAACAGAGGGATAGAATCAAGATCACATGAAGTATTAATACCACTTTACAATGCCTTGATGAGGCCATACTTGGAATACTGCATCCAGTTTTGGTCACTGCGATGTAAAAAAGATGTTGAGACTCTAGAAAGAGTACAGAGAAGAGCAACAAAGATGATTAAGGGACTGGAGGCTAAAGCATATAAGGAACGGCTGCTGGAATTGGGTATGTCTAGTTCACGGGTTGGCAACCCGCGACTCCGGAGCCGCATGCGGCACTTTGAGCCACCTCCTGTGGCTCCGGAGCCTTCTCCACCATTTTCATAGAGAGAGAGAGAGACAGAGACAGAGAGGCACTTGTGCTTCCCTTCTCTCTCTCCCTCTCTCTCTCTCTCTCTCTCTCTCTCTCTCTCTCTCTCTCTCTCTCATGCACATTTGCTCCTTGCTCCCGATTGGCCCTGCAGCCGTCTGCCCTGCCCCCTGGGAGAAGGGTGGCCAGGAAGGGCCTTTCTGGGGCTGGCCCAGTCTGAGGTGCATGTGGCCAGAGAGCCGCGCGGGGAAGCCCCAGGATCCATGCTGGGAGCGGCCCAGCAGAGCCTCCGTTGAAAGGGCCAACCCTCCCGCAAGCTGTGGCCCTAGTGGGCCAAGCAGGAGCAGAGCCGGAGATGGAGGGTGAGTGGGGAGGAGGGAGGTGGCTTACCTGCACTAGGTGGAGGGGCAGCCGAGCCCGCCTCGTGTCTCCCCGGGCTGGGCAGCAGGCCTGGCGGGGCCAGCGGCCGGCAGGGGCATTGGTTCCTGCCCTTCCCCGGGCCGGGCGGTAGGCCCAGTGGGGACAGCAGTTGGCGGGGGGATCGGTTCCTGCCCCTCCCCGGGCCACTGAGCCAGTAAAATCAACGGACGTGGAGGTGCTGCACCTGGCTTTTTGATTCGCCGCAGACCTCCATTGACTTCCATGGGGATTCTTGGCAATGAATGGGGCCGATTGAAATCGCTTCAAGAAACAAGCTGCAGGATGGCTTTGAGTGGCAGAGACACAGAGAGCTGCAAATGATCTCCACAGGAGATGCAGCAAGGGCAGGAGACGAGAAAGAGTCCGCTATGTCTGTGCACAAGCCCCGAAAGCTTTCTTCCTCTCCCTGCCTTTCTTGCTGGCCCTCTGATGTAAGCATCTGCTGGGTTTCCTCAACCTCCCCCCCCCTGTTTTATTTTAATCCCACCATCGCCTCCCTCTTTCGCAAAGTTGACATTCCGAGGACTCGTAGCTCGCTTCTCTCCTGGAATCACTTGGCAAAGTTTGAAAGAGAGGCTGCCTGCTCCCACCTCCCACGGAGCAGAGTTGCTGCTTCCTCGCCTCCCAGCGAAAGAACCCCAGAGAGCTGGAAGGTGTCCTTTCTCCCACTTTCCGCTTCCCGTCCTCCCTTTTCCAAGCACCCCTCCCAGAGCCCACCAGAAGCCTCAACTCCAGCCTCCTGCAGCAGGCTGAGATAGGCGAGCCCCAGCGACCGTCTGCTGCTGCCTCAGAACATTCACCACAGCAGCTCTTTCTCCCCGTCGGCTTCCTCCTCCACTCCCTTGGAACCTTCGCGCCAAAAGGCAGCAAGAAGAAAGTCCCAGAGAGGGAGAGCGCAGGGTGAGGGGATGGCGGTCTTTTCCGAAGGGAGGAGAAGCCAGGACTGCAGAGCCGTTCATACCAGAGCTGGATGGGGGGCAGGGCCGGCGCACGTTTCGCCTTAAGCTCCACTCTTCAATCAAGCCCTGTGTTCTGTGCGCATGCGCATGCGCGGGCATGCGCGCACACATTTTGCGGCTCCCAGGGGGTTTTTTGTGAGGGAAATGGATCCAAGTGGCTCTTTCACTGTTGCAGGTTGCTGACCCCTGGTCTAGTTTAATGAAGAGAAGGACAAGGGGGGATATGATAGCAGTATTGCAATATCTCAGGGGCTGCCACAAAGAAGAGGGAGTCAAGCTATTTTCCAAGGCACCTGAAGGCAGGACAAGAAGCAATGGATGGAAACTAATGAAGGAGAGAAGCAGCCTAGAACTAAGGAGAAACTTCCTGACAGTTAGAACAATTAACCAGTGGAACAACCTGCCTCCAGAAGTGGTGAATGCTCCAACACTGGATGTTTTTAAGAAGAGACTGGATAGCCATTTGTCTGAAATGGTATAGGGTTTCCTGCCTGAGCAGGGGGTTGGACTGGCTGACCTCCAAGGTCCCTTCCAACATTATTATTATTATTATTATTATTATTATTATTATTATTATTATTATTATTATTATTATTCTCAATCATCGCACAGTCAGCCAGATGTTCAGACTGGATTTGGCATTTTGTCTACCTATCGAGTCCTTACCCAGGACCTGGGATAGGCAGATATAGATGTTTGATGGTATTACAGGTATCGTCGCAGGATGGAAGCAGTTCCTAATAAGGCCGCCTTTTGCAATTGACTAATAGCGAATTTGTCAATGCCAATGGTGTTCAAGTGGTGCTCCAGTTGTTTTGGGATTGCACCCAAGGAGCCTATGACTATTGGTACTACCCTTGCTTGCTTTTGCCACAGTCTTTCTATTTCTATTTGTAGGTCTTTGTATTTTGTTATCTTCTCCAGTTCTTTCTCTTCTATTCTGCTGTCTCCAGGCACTGCCACGTCCACTATCCAGACTTTTTTGTCTTTCTTATCGACAATTGTTAAGTCTGGGGTGTTATGTTGCAGGTGCTTGTCTGTTTGAATTCTGAAGTCCCAGAGCAGTTTAATTTTATCATTTTCTATGACTTTCTCTATTTTATGATCCCACCAGTTTTTGCTTACAGGCAAATGATATTTTTTGCAGATCTTCCAATGCACCATTGTTGCTACTTTGTCATGCCGCTGCTTGTAATCAGTCTGTGCAATCTTCTTGCAACAGCTTACCAAGTGGTCCACTGTTTCTTCAGCTTCTTTGCATAGGCGGCACTTACTGTCTGTTGCTGTCTTCTCAATTTTGACTTTGTATGCATTTGTCCTTAAGGCTTGGTCTTGTGCAGCCAGAATTAGTCCCTCGGTCTCTTTCTTCAATTTTCCTGCTCTTAGCCATTGCCAGGTTTTATTATTATCTGCTTTCCCAGCTATTTTTTTAATGTATTGGCCATGTAGTGCTTTGTCTTCCCATGCCTCTATTCTGTTCTTCATTTGGTCTTTCTTGTAGGCCAGTTTGGTCTCTCCAGTAGTTAGTAAGCCTTCCTGATATACTAATTTCAGTGCATCTTCATCATTGTTCTTCAGATATTCTTCCAAAGCCATTTTTTCTTCTTCAACCATCTGATGTACTTGTAGCATTCCACGCCCACCTATTTGCCTTGGTAGATAAAGTCTATCAATGTCACTGCGTGGATGAAGGGCATGATTCATTGTCATTATTTTTCTGGTCTGCCTATCCATTGCTTTTAGTTCTGCTTGAGTCCAGTCCACTATTCCAGCTGTGTACCTAATGACTGGGATTGCCCAGGTGTTGATTGCCTTTATGGTATTTCCTCCATTGAGTTTGGATTTTAAGATCTTCTTCACTCTCTTGATGTATTCACCTCTAATCTTTTTCTTGACTTCAGTGTGCTTGATGTTGTCAGCTTGAAGGATACCCAAGTATTTGTAGTACTCTTCCTCATCCAGACTCTTAATGTTATTTTCGTGGGGCATCTTGATTCCTTCAGTTTTCACTATTTTTCCTTGTTTGATAGTAAGTGTGGCACATTTGTCCAAGCCAAACTCCATTACAATATCTTGGCTATATATACGGACAGTGTTGAGCAGCGATTCTATTTCAGATGATGTTTTTCCATACAGCTTCAGATCATCCATGTAAAGGAGGTGGGATAGTCTGGCAGATGTTTTTGATGTTTGATAGCCATGTCCTGAGTTATTCAGTATTGTTGACAGAGGAAACAGTGCAATAACAAATAGTAATGGTGATAATGAATCTCCTTGAAATATTCCTCTCTTGATATTAACCTCTCCCAGCTTTTCACCATTGATCTGCAACTGTGTCTTCCATTGTGCCATCGATTTTTGCACAAATTTTCTGATGTTTCTACTGACTCCTGTTATTTCTAGGCACTTGATTATCCAGTCATGTGGCAGAGAGTCAAATGCCTTTTTGTAGTCAATCCACGCCACATTCAGGTTATTATTATTATTATTATTATTATTATTATTATTATTATTATTATTATGGATCATCGCACAGTCAGCCAGATGTTCAGACTGGATTTGGCATTTTGTCTACCTATCGAGTCCTTACCCAGGACCTGGGATAGGCAGATGTGGATGTTTGATGGTATTACAGATATCGTCGCAGGATGGAAGCAGTTCCTAATAAGGCCGCCTTTTGCAATTGACTAATAGCGAATTTGTCAATGCCAATGGTCAAGTGGTGCTCCAGTTGTTTTGGGATTGCTATTATTGGTACTACCCTTGCTTGCTTTTGCCACAGTCTTTCTATTTCTATTTGTAGGTCTTTGTATTTTGTTATCTTTTCCAGTTCTTTCTCTTCTATTCTGCTATCTCCAGGCACTGCCACGTCCACTATCATTATCATCATTATTATTATTATTATTATTATTATTATTATTATTATTATTATTATTGTAGTCATTAAGCAAATTCAGTATATCCAATGTGTATTTTTTGCCACTTTTGCTGGAAAAGGCAAAAAAGTTGCAAATCATAGTCACATGACTGAGAATGACTGGACATAAATTCAAGCTGGTTGCCACATACTCAAAATACGATCATGTTACCAAGGTGGAAGGCAGGTAACAGTCGTATTTTCAGTGATGGGTTCTAAGTAACTAATTTTAGTCTGTTGCAACATCAGTTGTTAAGGGATTGATTAACAACCAAGAAGAAAAAAAGAACTTGAGACAAATCCAAACTTCTGTCTTACAAGGCTCACTCTGAATTACAGGAAGCAGTGAAGGTACATAAACCTGGTACTGTCTGTCTGACTTTCACGATTTTCTGAAAGCAACAAAGAAGTTATCTTTACATTTATTCAAAACAATAGGTAAGATTTATTATTTTACTGCAGGTTGTTTAAATCCGTTGTTTGTAATTAAACAAGCTTGGATAACTTCAGGGGGAGAAGAGCAATTAGTATTTATGCAACTTCTATGAAATTGTTTTATTTTGTTCTATTTTTGAGAATATGTTACATCTATTACCATAATACATTAGGTTTTATACTAGCTTAAATAGCATGGCTTTCTTTTTTAAAAAAATCTGACACTGCTGGGTTTTTTTTTAGTTTTCCAGTGATCCTTTTAGGCATCCCTGGGATCTTCCCTTAGTAAACTAACATTTCTAAGATTCTCTGGAAATAGCTGGTTTGATGCCCCCAAATATTTTATGCATAGTGCTATCGTTCTAACCAAACAATTTTAATTTTTTTAAAAAATGTATTATTAAATTTATACACTGCCCATTCCGCTCTGTGTTTTAAAGTTCATCTCAGTTTCTGCTTTATGTAGTTTCTCACTGGATGCTACAGCCATGGAAAAGGGCCACAGAAAAGCCAACTCCACATACAATGGTGTCACACCATTTCTTAGCACACCTGAGATGCTGAAAAGTCAATTAAGTATCAAATTAATCCAATCTCTTTCCATGCTTTCAAGATAAAGGCTGCCAGGGCAAATTCTTGCAATCAGGAACAAATTCTGATTGCATTGTCTCAGGAGCAATCACTATTGCCAAATGTGTTAGTGTGTAGCTTTTGCATCTGCTGATATAGTTGATTACACTTGATATAAGGCAAAAGATTGAGAAGCAACATATTCTAAATGAGCTGTTTCCAACCTGGAATCCTTCAGACATCTTGAACTTTAGATCCAATAATCTTTGATCAGTGTGATTTTTTGATTGGCTTTTATGGAAAGGGCTGGGGTGAAAGTTATCTTTTACTGCAGCAAATCAATAAGGGAAAACTTAAGGAACTAGTGTGGGTTTATAGATGATTTACATATCCATGGAATGAACCATGGATATGTAGGATGCCTATTGGAGTACAAGGGAATAAAAGAGAAAACACATAGAGTAAGTTTTGTGTCTAGGAGGTATCTGAACTATTTACAGAAAGTTGAGACAAATCCCATTAAGGAGATAAAACATTGATATGTCTCAATGTTCTTTTGTTTTTAGAAATGATTGCCTTCATTGTCTTGCCAATTCTTGCTGCAGTGCTGCAACAGTCTTCTGGAAGTGTAAGTTTAATAATTTTGTATCACGTATAGCAGATTTAATATATACAGTACATAACTTTCTCCTCTTACAATTAATCATTCATTAAACTGCCTAATATGTGTTGGATTGTTCCATATGTGTCATGAGCGGTAGAAATAACCTTGAGGAACAAGAGGAAGAGATGTAGCTGAGACAACAGTCAGTTAAATATGAATCTAGCACGTAAATATAATTTGAGAAAGCTTCTCAGACAAGACCACTCTTAGCTTTCAGTAAGAAGAAGGCTGGAAAATGCATTCAGACTTTCAAGACTCTTGCTGTAACACTGTAACTGTCATGGTTCCATCTAATGAAACACTTCAAAGAACTTCCAGGCATTGTTTATCCTAAAAAGACTTTTTCATTCATGCTAGCATTTTCCCTCCCTTATTTTGCTGTCATGATTCACGTTCTCCAATTAGTTTGAAGGGCAAAGGTTCTCTTCCATTTGCAACTCATACATTCTTCCTTCTCCCCTCCCAGCGTCTTCTGAGTTAATTCTAAAAATACCACACAGCTCTGCATATTTTGTCAGAGCAAGAACATCCAATGTTAGCAGCTTTGACATCAACCTTGTAATCAAACGGAATTAGATTCATTACTATGGTTTCTTGGTCTGGTCGGTGAAGCTTGATCAGTCTAACTGTTCATTTTAATTCATAAATATATTACAGGACTGAACACACAAAGCAAAACACAATCATGCTGAACAGGGCAGTCAAATAGATTTAATGAAAAGAATAATTTTAATTCCTGTGGTCTATAATAGAACTCAAGTCCCAATCTGCTGGAATAGCCCCCCCACAACTGAGATTTTAGGGATCCCTACCCTTTTAAGCCTTCTGGGGGGCAGTGAAGATCTGGTTTTGTCCCCCTCTCCAAGTGTAGGGCTAGGATGGGGGTTCAATGAGGCTGCTTGGTCTGACACTTGGTGGGTAGGATTGCTCTCTTTTTATTCCTGTTGTGAGCCACTTAGGATCATTATATAGACATCCATATAAGTTCTTGATATAAATCCGTAAATACCATTGCAGTATTCCTTTGAAGAATAGATTAGGGGGAAATGATTAATTTATTTTAACTTGGTTCTGTGATCCCCTTTTCCTATCTTATGGCTAGTCTCTTTTCTTTTCTTTTTTTTTTTTTGTAAAAAAAATTTATTTTCAATTTTGCAATACAATACAATTTTAAAAATACTTCAGATAAAAAATAAAACAAATTAATACACACCATCTTCGGTATTGCTCACCCATTTCCCCCAAACCGCATCCGCCCTCTAACCAACTTGCCTCTTTCCCTCTTCTTTCTCTCTCACCCCTTCTCCTCCACCTTCCTACTTACTTCTCACCTTCTTCTATCCTTTCACTCCGGATGCGGTCCAGGGGAAATGCCCGAGCAATTCCTCTCTCCAAATTGAAACCTCAATATTATATACAATAAAAACTATTTCTACTTATCTGAATTACTAAAATTTCAACCTATCCTTCCCCCACCCCCCTCCCCCACCCCCCTCCCCCCTGACTTCCCAGAGCTAAGTACAGGGTTATACAAATATACTAAACATAATCTATTTAAGTTTACTAATTATACAATAACCAAAATCATACTAACCCTTAACTCTCTTCAAACTTTAACATCATAAGTTTATAAACAAATTCATTACTCATAAAATAAATGAAACTTTGTAGTTCCATACTTCTTCTGAACATATTCTATCCATCTTCTCCATACATTAAAATATCTCTCTTGTGAATGGTCCTTTAAATAAGCAGAAATTTTGGCCATTTCTGCTAAATTAGAAACCTTAAATACCCATTCTTCTAAAGAAGGCAGAGTATCCTTCTTCCAATATTGACCCACCAATAATCTTGCTGCTGTTATTAAATTCAACATTAAAATAGTTTCTTTAACATCAAAATCCACAAAAATACCCAAAAATAAACTTAATCTTCCTTTTAAAAACCTTTTGAATGTTCCACAAAATCATAATCCAGAAGGCTTTAATATTTTTACAAGTCCACCAAACATGAAAATAGGTTGCATCCAAGCAACCACATCTCCAACATTTAGGTTGCAGGTTCGGGTACATACAAGACAACTTTTTAGGATCCAGATGCCAACTATAAAACATTTTATAAAACTTTTCCCTCAAATTTTGAGCCTGCATAAATTTAATATTTCTAATCCAAATTACCTCCCATAAGTCCAATGAAATCGGTTCCTGAATGTTCTGGGCCCATTTAATCATACAATCTTTTACCAACTCTGAATCCAAATCCAATTTTATTAACTCATTATAAATTCTTTTAATGTGGGTATGTTTCTGGTCCTTAATCTGAATTACCAAATTTTCATCTACTAAAGTAATTCCCATTTTCTTATCTAAAGTCCATCTCTCCACTATTTGCAAATATTGAAACCATGATTGTAAAATATTTGCTTGCCTTAGCACATCTGAAGACTTTAATTGCCAATCAGTACCCGATCAAATAAGTAACTCTTCATACGAAATATTATCAAAATTCACCCCCTTAGAAACTCCCTGAATTGCTTGTCCAGGAATCCCCCAAATAGGTATTTTATAGTTTAATTTACAATAATACTTCTTCCATTCTCCAAGTTAAGCATTTCTTAAAATATGTGACTTAAAAACCCAATCTACTTTCTTATCAAAAATTAAATATGCATGCCAACCATATAATAAATCCCAACCTTCAAGAGCAAGAATATTTTTATTTGTTAAATTAAGCCAGTCACTTACTAAAGTTAAAGTGGCCGCATCATAATATAATTTTAAATTAGGTGCTTTAAGTCCACCTCTTTCTCGAGCGTCTTGTAAAATCTTAAACTTTACCCTTGATTTCTTCCCACTCCAAATAAATTTATTGATACCCTTCTGCCACTCATCCAAATTAGCATCCTTTTTTAAAATAGGTATCATCTGAAACAAAAAAAGAAACTTTGGTAGAACATTCATCTTTACTACTGAAATTCTCCCCAGTAATGATAGTTGCAGTTTTTGCCAATCATTTAAATCTTTTTGAACTTTAACCCACAAGCGTTCATAATTATTCTTATACAATTTTCTATTAGATGTTGTAATATATACTCCTAAATACTTAACCTTATTAACTACTTCATAACCTGTTGCTTCAGCTATAAAATTTTCCCCTTCACAGACATATTTTTTAATAATATTTTAGTTTTATTCTTATTCACCTTAAAACCAGAGACCTGTCCATACTGTGCTAAAATTTCAACCAAATCTTTGACCGAATCTGTAGGATGGGATAACATCACAACCAAATCATCAGCAAAAGCTCTCAGCCTATAATCAATCTTACTTATTTTTATTCCTTTTAATCTAGATGAATCTCGAATTTTAATAAGTAAGATCTCCATTGTTAATACAAATAACAAGGGGGATAAAGGACAACCCTGTCTTGTACCTTTTCCTATTTCAAATACGTCTGTTAGTCCCCAATTAATTATAATTTGTGCCGATTGTTGCTGATATATGGCCTTGAGAGCACACAAAAATTTATCTCCAAAATTCATTTCCTCTACAACTTTCAATAAAAATTTCCAATCTAATTGATCAAAAGCTTTCTCACATCTATAAATTTTAAAGCAGCAGGGATTTGGTTGTTCTTATCCAAATACTCTATTAAATTGACAATTTGTCTTACATTATTTTTCATATATCTTCCCATTATAAATCCAGATTGGTCAGTATGAATCAGTTGTTTCAAAACCTGCATTAATCTATTTGCCAATATCTTTGCAAAAATCTTATAATCTGTATTTAAAAGAGATATAGGCCTGTAATTTCTGGGTTGGGACAGATCCTGGTCTTCCTTTGGAATCAATGATATAAAGGCCGTTCTCCAAGATGGAGGTAACTCTGCTCCAGACAAGATATCATTAAAGAGTTCCTTTAATGGTTCTGTCATTTCTTCATCTCTTTTCAAATACAAAGACAAATGGGGCCACTGTTTGATAGCTGGGGATCAGAAGAAAGTTGCATGGAGTAGAATCGTGATAGAAGGAGATAAGGCAAAGTCATTCACTGAGTCCTGAGACCACTAGTTGCTTGTTCTGTTTAAAGTCATACAATTTTAATTGTTTTTATTTTATTTTGCTTGCTATCTTAAGGTTGATTTTGATTCTGAGTCACCCAGGAAACCAGAAATACAAAACAAGATTGTTGATTTGCACAATTCTTTAAGGAGATCTGTGAATCCAACTGCTAGCAACATGCTAAAAATGGTAAACTAAATGTAATTGTATTTGTCAGAGAGTTTGGAAGTATAATTGTCTTACTAGTGTAAAAATTATGTGATTTACCAAATAGGATAAGAGAACATACCTACTATTTATTGATTGAGTGATTCTCATTTTGGCCCATATGCATTTAGGTGCATCTGTATTTATATTTGAATCTGTCAGTTATAATATCACTCAGAGAAATATACAATGAAAAAAAAGATCATGAAAACATATAATCAAAGTAGGAAATTGAGAGGAAATTAATAGGGTCTTCAGCAATATTAAGTATCTCCCCATAGCTGTATTTTTTATATCTTTTCCAATATTGGCTATTGTACCTTTAATTGCCATAATCACAGCAAAGGCTAGACTTGCAGAGTTGAACATTTCACATAAATTGCAGTCTCAAGGTCCTTTAGTTTGATATAAATCCCATGGAAATCAATAGCACGTGCTCTAGTAATTTTACCTACACTGCATACATACATACATACATACATACATACATACATAATTGTAACTACATAGCATAGGACTCACTGGAGAAGGGCCTAATGCTGGGAAAGATTGAAGGCAACAGAAGAAGGAGACAACAGAGAATGAGGTGGCTGGATGGAGTCACTGAAGCAGTAGGTGTGAACTTAAATGGACTCCAGAAGATGATAGAGGACAGGAAGGCCTGGAGGAACGTTGTCCATGGGGTGACGATGGGTCGGACACAACAAGCATAGTACAATACCTACGACATCTGGATTTTCCTTCTTTTACATGAAAATTAGTTAAAATACTGCCAGTTACATCCAAGCACTGTGGTTTCAATTGCCATCAAACATAAAATAATAGGGTTGGAAGGGATCTTGGTGGTCTCTGGTCCAACCGCCTGCCCATGGTAGGAGATCCTATATACCATTCCAGACAAAATGGCTGTCCAGTCTGTTCTTAAAAAGGATAATACCAGTTTTCTGTACTGTTTTGTACAATGTGATTTTTTTTATTTTATGAAAAAACTTGATTAGCTTTTTTCAAAAGTAAAACCAGTTTTACAAAGTATTTTATCCATTAAAATAACAATGCATATTGGCAAAGCAAATGGCCCAGGTAGATCTTTGATTTACATGGCAATATCACCAGAAAACAGAATAAAAAGCCCAAATGTAATGATTTATGCACACCACTAGAGTTTTGTGAGATAGACATCTATATATATTTGAAATATAAATATAAATAAGCAAGCTACAATAATAATGGTTGAAAGGTTCCAACCATAATTATCATCTCTTAACCTTACTTTTTCTTGGATTGGAAAATACCATATTTTTTTGGGCTTCTGCATGCAGGAGCATTCAACATACACTCATTAGAGAACTCCATCTTAATCAGAATTTTAACACTGCTGGTCAGAAGGAAACATTAATGGCATTCATCAGGGTGCAACATAGGTTGCTTGCACTTGGTGTCAAAAAGGGTGGGGAGGAAGCCATACACTCCCACTTCAACTATTCAAAGGATGTTTTAGTGAATATTGCTGTAACTTCTGAGTTCTTAACTACCAGAGTTGAAGGAAGCCAAAAGGTAGTAAAAAAGGATCAAATGTTTTCTGCAATTTTAAATTATGCCTCTTTCATTGATTGATTGTTGCTGTTGATTTCTATTCTGTTCAGGAATGGTATCCTGAAGCTGCTGCTAATGCAGAACGTTGGGCATACAGATGTATTGAGAGTCACAGTCCACGCGATTCAAGAGTTCTTGGTAAGTCAATCTAAAAACATAGTATAGCTATAGCTGGTTAGAGGATTAATAGTATATTTCACATTAAATACCACTTACAATCAATCTTATTCGTCAATATTAGCAGCAAGAGTAATACCTATGAATCACTCTATAGTTGCCACTCCCATGTAGATAATGAATAGAATAGAATAGAATAGAATAGAATAGAATAGAATAGAATAGAATAGAATATTGAGTTGGAAGGGACCTTGGAGGTCTTCTAGTCCAACCCCCTGCTCAAGCAGGAGAACCTACGCCATCTCAGACAAGTGACTATCCAGTCTCTTCTTAAAAATCTCCAGTGATGGAGCGCCCACAATTTCTGAAGGCAAGGTGATCCACTGATTAATTGTCCTCACTGTTAGGAAGTTTCTCCTTAATTCCAGGTTGCTTCTCTCTTTGATCAGTTTCCAACCATTGTTTCTTGTCCTTCCCTCTGGTGCTTTGGAGAATAATTTTACTCCCCTTCTTTGTGGCAGCCTCTCAAATACTGGAATACTACTATCATGTCACCCCTATTTTTTCTTTTCTTTTTTCTTTTCTAATTGGGGGGTAGAAGAATTGAGAAGGTAATAATTTTCTTAATTTTCCTCCCCCCCCCCGTGAGTTTTGCTGTCCTTCACTTCTTTCAAAACATGTATTCACCTGTGGTTTTTTTTGCTGTTGCTTTTTTTCAACCCTCCCCATTTTTAGAAGGAATAAAATGTGGTGAAAATATATATATGTCATCTGTTCCTATAAAATGGACTGAAATTATTCACGGTTGGCATGGTGAAAACAAAAATTTCAAGTATGGCATTGGAGCAGACCCACCATATGCTGTAACCGGCCATTTCACTCAGGTAGTACTTTTTCATATCTTTGCCATTTCTATGTTCACAGGTATAAACCCACAAAAATGAATAAGATTAAAAAAGTAGACTCCCTTGAATCAAGTTCCAATCCTTGGCTGATCCTGAATCACTGAGCTAAACCAGGCCTGGCTGCTGCACAGGAAAGCCATGACTTGAAGGTAGACTTGAAAATTGAGAAAACACCCCACAAAAAGATAATAGCACAATATGTGTGGTGCTGTGGCCATGAAAACCAAGCAACTGTGTCCTTACAATCATTAAGTAATTCCATAAACATGAGCATCTGGGCTAAGAGCCATAGTCCCAATGCATGTTAAGGAAAGGTAAAACTAGACTAGATTAAAGTGTTGTACTGTTTTGTTTTTTGAATTCTGATATAGGATTGCAAACATACTAAATGTGTTATTTGTTATTCGCATTTAGTGCCTCAGATCTTGGCTTTCATGCAGCTAGGAAGGAAGAACTAACTTGCTGGTAATAGCAAGTTACTCGGCTTGCTTTGGATGTGATGGGGCACTTTAGAAAGAGATGGTCTATAAAGTTCAGGATGGAGCATTTTCATATTTTACATTTTAAATACATACATTTAAAGCACACAGGATGAAGCCTCATTTGTTCTAATATTTATTTGCTTCTGCAAACTATAGAAATGAACACACTTTTTAATTCAGAGAAAGAAAATGATTGGAAATGTTCATTGTACACTCATTGTTATTGTGGTATCCCACTTCACTGACTAGGAGCAGGCAATTATATATAGTACATTTTCTTACATCCCTTATGCAATTTTCTTTACATGCCCCTATACAATCCGAATGTTTATTATCAATATTAAGCTACTAGCATGTTAACCTGTGTGCATATTTTTGTATCTACAGGTAGTTTGGTACAAAAGTTACCGTGTTGGTTGTGCTGCTGCCTATTGTCCTTCATCGGAATACAGCTACTTTTATGTTTGTCAGTACTGCCCAGCGTATGTATCAACTATGATTTCCTTATTTGTCACATTTACAGCAAGTCTAATTAGAATGATTCTGATTGCCCTGGAAAAGAAAACAATGGGCTTAAATCAAATGTTGTTTACTATCTTACACTCAAACAAAATATAAAGCAGGGTATGATAAAAAGAACAAAATAAATGCGAATGTAGCAGTAAAATATCACTACCCTAGATCAGTGGTTCTCAACCTTTTTAATGCCCCGACCCCCGACCGGTCGTAAGTCGAGGATTTCTCAACCAGTCATAAGTCGAAAACTACTTAACTGGTGCAGCACCGTTTGCAGAATGGGACTTTTGGCAGGCTCAGCAGGGCAGAGACAGCCTGGACAATTCCTATTGGCTTTTGAAAGCCAATAGAATTAGACTCTATTCAAGAGAGTCTATTCTATTGGCTTTCAAAAGCCAATAGAATAAAAGGGAGTAGCACAGCTAAGGAAAAGGGGAAAACATGGTGGACTGCGTTGTTTGGCGACCCCCGTGAAATGGTCGTTTGACCCCAAATGGGGTCCCAACCCACAAGTTGAGAACCACTGCCCTAGATAGACTTATACGTCAGCTAACTGCAATATTTTTTGCATGCTAATAATTCAAGTTTAGCCATTGTATGTGAGTTTTTGGAGAGGGCATTTGTTCAGTATAAGATATTGAAGATGAAACATATCAAGACACCAAGGATTACCTGAAATAGGGGTTCCAACAAAGAATTTCTAAGAGTTCTAAGCAATGGGCCTGAAGCATATGGACAAATCCTTTCTATGTAGGTAGTTTTTCTAAATCTGCCTTTGAAGTTGGCTGATGGTAGAATATGAAATTGAAGCAATGAAAAATCTCCCAGATCATTTACTGACCTTGCCACTTTGAAAGAATATAATTTCCTAACGCTATCCTCAAAAGTAATTTACTATGTTCCACTTGTGCTTCTACAAGAAGAATCCTTTTTGCTAAGAATGAACATGGCCTCATCCTGTCCCAAAGCCAGTGATGCTCTAGGATAGAATCCAAAATGGCACAGGTTTTCTTCAATAGTCTTCTCTAGTTGCTGTGGGCTGAAATGTTATCTAATAAAAAAAGTTTGAACTGCTAAAAAATACTGGTCTACAATAAGAAAATGGATCCAAGAAATAATAGACCAACCCATAGACTGGAAACCAGAGATTTCTTTGTTGGATATTTTAAATAGAAAATATAGTAAAGAAATATGGTACTTAATTTTACATATAATAACAGCGGCAAGAATAGCATATGCACAGTGCTGGAAAAATGAGAATATACCATCAGAGGAAGAAGTGATAAGGAAAATCCTGGACTGTGCTGAGATGGACAAATTAACAAAAGAGATAAAAGAAAAGGAAGACGCAGAGTATTATATAATATGGAACAAGTTGTATGTCTGGTTGGAGACTAGAATTAATAGAGGAGAATAAATATGGAAAGGTCAAAAGTGAAAATATGTGTATAATAATGTATAATAATATTAATATGAATTATTCTTAGTAAGAAGTAGAACATGAAGGTAGAAAAATGTAAATAAGAAATAACAGGGCTATAAGGACAAATATTCTAAAGAAGAATAAGGGGGAAATGTAAATATTAGATTACCGTTGTATAATTGCTGTAAAAAAAGAAGTATATGTACTGTATGACAGTACAATGCAAATCCCATCCTTTTTTTCTTGTGCCCTGATTAAACACAACATGTTAAGCCACAAAGTTGTGCTCTAACATCACTGTTCCTTCCTGCAGATGCTTTTAGCAAGCAATAGAATCAAAAATACTTAAATTTTCATAAGATTGGCTGACATACACAGTTATATTTCAGGAATATATCTTCCAATTATTTATCTGTATTGTTTCTGTGCTGGGTTATGAATAGATTTAAATCAAAACTGACTTTGGAATTTTTAAATAAAAGGCTATACAGGTAGTCCTCATTTAATTACCACAATTTGGACTAGCAACTCGGTCATTAAGCCAAGTGGTCCCAAAGGGGAATCTTGACTGTGTTACAGTGTCGATCTTACTTTCCTTTACTTTTACAGACCTGCAAAGTTGTAAAAGCAAGGATTGACTGCAACGTTAATTTTTTGTTGCCATCAAAAGTTTGCTATCTAAGTCAATCACTGAATGAAGACTACCTATATAATTCTGCAGACAATTTCCCTTCTGTGTTGGTCATGATGTGGTAGGATGTTATGATATTGCTTGGATATCTGTTTTTAATATAATACTGTTTCTTTAATTCGTGAAGCTGAACAGAGTCATTCTGGAATGGAGTAGCCAAGAAACTCTTTCAATTCATCCATCCATCCAGAAAATAAAAAAAAAATAGAAAGCTGTGGATGAATAGATATTTTCTTTCTCCTTCTAGACCTGGATGTAACCCAAGTATTGAATGCAGCCCCCAGAACACCAAATTACTATTTTTGATATGAGTAAAGGGACAAATTATTTACTACATGGACATATACAATATACAATATTAGATTTTACTTATTTTAATTTCCTTAATTTTTCATTGTTTTGTATTCATTTTGCTTACTTTTTCATTCATCTTATTCTTTTTAACTTGAGTGGCAATTCCAGGAACGGAACTGGAAATCTTCAATCTGCAGTCACATGTTTGTCACATGGTCCCTCTCCAACTATGGGCAATACATGGGAAATAACCTGCAGAGAGACAGCATGGATGATAGGCATAGAAGGCAGACTTGCATCCTCAAGCTATCATGGCATATGATTGGCAGGAAAGGGGGAAATCCTTTCTGTATTGGTTAGAGAGAACTGAGAAAGATGGAGAGATGGGAGAAGGAGAATGTTTCGGAGGAGAAATGAAAGAAGGGAAGAAGGAAGACATTAGGAGGAAGTCAGAGTTTCCCTCAATTCTTTCTCTAACAAGCCAGAAAAATCCTTTTTTGCTCTCTCATAAAACTTGACAGGGTTTACTCCCTTTTGGAGAAGACTTCAGAAGTCAGGTCTTCCCCTCTGATGGTAGTGCTGTCTGCTCTCTCAAAACTGGAAACTCAAACCAGAGAAACCAAGACAACGCAACCAAAGTCAATTATCTATTGAAATGGCATGGGTGTTTCATCAATAACAAATGGAACAGTAATAATGTATGGCACCTTTCTGTTCATCTTTTTCATTCCAGAGGAAACATCATAGGTAAAACTGCTACTCCATATAAATCCGGGCCACCTTGTGGGGATTGTCCTTCCGCTTGTGACAATGGACTATGCAGTAAGTTTTTTTTAAAGTCAATTATTAAACCAACATTTTTAAAGGTCATGTCATGTCAGCAAAGAACAGATTTCATATGAGGAGCTAATCATCTCTAGGTAGAATAACAGGTTTAATGGAAGATAGCCAACTATCCAGTAAGATAGTTGATGAGCCCAGGTAATTGAATCAGGGAAGACGAGGACGATATCAATCCATTTCAGCTTAGAAAGAACTTAAAATCCATACCAGCTTTTTGTTAGATTTTGTTCAGGACTATTGATGAAAGTAATAATTCAGCAGCTGCATATAATTATTCTAATATATACTCTAAAATAATTACTCTAAGTACTATTTTCATTTTTAAAAATCTTCAGCTTTGAATCCACCCCTTAAGAAAAAAAATAAGTTTGATGTTGAGCTCTAAAACACTGCATGAAATTGTAAAAGAGTCCCTAGCAAGCTGTACTTTTAGTGATGTCTCACTTTTATTTACGTTTTTCTCTTTTTAAAATTTTCAGCAAATCCTTGCACAAAAGAAGATAAGTACACGAACTGCAAAAGTTTGGTCCAACAATCTGGCTGCCAGACTAAACAGATGCAGTCAGACTGCTCTGCTATTTGCTTATGCCAAAATAAAATAATATAGTGGGCTTCCCATTCAATATTTTTTTATTTTTGCCAGAAATATCTTAAAATCATGGCATCTTTTAGTATCAGCAAATTCTTACTTGACATTTGATTTCATATACTTTGCATGAATGTCCTATGAATGCCTAAGGGAAACAGCAGCAGGAGTAAAGGCTAGGGATGAAAACTGTAAGTTCAAAGAGTCACAGGAAAAATCACAAGCCTATGTAGCATCAAAAAAGGTTGATTAAAAGAAAATACTGAAGGCCTGAAAATAACATCACCAAAATTCTTTGCACTACAACTATACCACAAGGATTTCTTAAATGCTTATATTAAAACTAATCTAGAACTGATCTGATGCCATTCATGCAAAATATATGCCAGGATTTGGTGTTTTTCATGTTTTAATTGGTTATGGTTCATAGTTTGATATGATTTTATATTATTTTTAATTTTTGATTGGGAGCCACCCAGATGGGCAGCTTTATAAATGTAATAACTAATTAAATAAGTAAACAAATAAATAAATTCTGTAGAAGAGCAAAATGCCTCATTGATTGGTCAATGTATTGTGTATATGTATCTATATGTCTGTTTGTGTGTTTGTAATTTGATATAACAATCATCTATCAAAATATTATAAAAAGGTAACCTTCATAAAGCAGTCTAATATCCCTGATGGCACTCTTAAACCAGACATTTTAAACAAAGTCTTCCTCAGTGCTGTGAATCTTCTGGATAATTTGTAGTAGTTTTCTACTTAAAACAAAAATAGTTACATAAAAAAAACCCACCTTGTAATGCAGAGTTTAAACATCACAAATTCAATATCATTTTGAAACAAACATGAAAGGTAAAATCACCCTGTTGTTAGACTTAGTGGTGGGATTCAGCCAGTTTGCACCAGTTCAGGAGAACCGGTAGCTAATTTTTTGTTGCCCAGACACAGAATGGACTTCCGGAAGTGGCATCCACACAGAGAACCAGTTGTTCATATATTTGAATCCCACCACTGGTTAGACTCAACACCTAGTGACCGTGGAGCTATGTCTTTATGATTTGCTTGGCAACATATGGAAATGGCATTGTATTGCCACCTTCTATGTATTTTTAATTTCCCAGTCTTGTTCAACCTAGCCCTAGAAGTTTTTCATGGCTTCCCATCCAATTACTAACCCAATCTGACTCTGCTTAACCATCTCACTATGATTCCGTTTATGACTGAGCTCTTTCTTCACTGAAAACAGAACTGCCAGTATGAAATTGCTCTGACAGAAATCCATGGTGAGCACATTCTTGAAGTACTAGATATAATTTTTATTAAAAAGGGCATTACAGAGCTTAAAAGATACAAAAAGTGTCAGCAAAACTCCTGTGAGAAAAGATTTTATATAGGATATGTGTTTGTGTGCGCACACGGGGAGGGGGAAGAGTATATTCTCAAGTTTGTATAGCTATCTATCTCACAAATGTGACTCAATAGCTTAAAACAATTAAATACAACAACATGGGATAAATGGATCAGCATTTGATATACAGTGTAACTATCTCATAAGATCCCCATTTCTTTGGGGTCCCCAGTGCTGCTGAAGAGGGATTTCATAAATGCCAGTAGGATTGGGGCTAATATCATCTCAGGGAGATTGACATTCCAAAGAACGGGTGCTAAAGCAGAAAAGGCCTTCCTTCTTAGCAGACAATATCCACAATACCCATAACATGCCTCTCCTACTAGGCCTCATGGAACCGGAATATGTAATTGGGGAAAGTCAGTCCCTCAAATAATCTGGGTTCATGCCTGTGGGATTTTAGAAATAAAGCCAGCATCTTCAATTGAACAAGAAAGCAAACCAGCAACCAATGCAGCTTGCAGAGCAAAAGTGTAACATGTGCCATTCTTGGGAGTACACATACTGTAATTGCCTGCACCATCACATTTTGTACCAGTTGAAGCTTCCAGATGTTTCTTCAAGGGCAGCCTTTTCTGGAGTGCATTACAATAGTCCATTTGGTCAGCATTCAAAAGGTAATGAGGGCATGAGTATCTATAAACACCACCCAGGAATGGGCACAACTGGCACACAACACAAAGCTGTGCAAAGTTCCTCCTATCCATGACTGCCACCTGCTCTTCAAGCAGGATCTGTGCATCCCAAAAGGATTCCCCCCCCCAGATTGTGCACCATGTCTATTTGGGGCAGTGCTATCCCTCCATTAGTAAAGATGGTGAAGTCCTAAATCTAGAAGGCCCTAAAACCCCCAACCACTCAGTCTTTCCAAGGTTGAGTTGAAGCCTATGGTTTCCCATTCAGAAATACACAGCTTCCAGGCATTGACATAGGACATCAACAGCATTTCTTAGTTTGCCGGGGTAGAAATATATAATTCCCCCACAGCTTCATGTAGATGTTAAACAGGAATGGAGAAAGTACCAAACCCAGTGTCGTTCCACATAATAAAGGGACTCTCATTCCCAATCAATACCAACCAGTGTCTGCCCCGTAAAAAAGAAGAGAACCAGCACAATACAGTGCCACCCACTCCCAGACCACATAGCCATTCCAGAAAAATACCATAGTTGATGGTGTTGAGGATGGCCAAGAGATGAGATAGAGCCAAGATGAATACACTATCCCCATCCTGCTCCAACCAGAGATCATTCAAAAGCATGACCAATACCATTTCTATCTTTTTAAAAAAGTTTTATTGATTATTTTTAACAGAATTCAATGGTAATTATTCAATAAAACGTGTTGTCTGAATATCTTATTCACTAATACAAATTAAATTCCTAATCCCTAAATATTTTCTCTAACCATTGATAAAATAGGTCCCAAGTTTGATAATATTCTGTTTCTTCTTTTTCTTTCAGTCTCATAGTCAGTCTATCCATCTCTGCGCATTCTAGTATTTTTTTTAATTATTTCTTCATCTGATGGTATTCCTTCATTTTTCCAGTATTGCGCAAATATAATTCTTGCCACTGTTGTGACATGCAAAATCAAATATATGCTTTGTTTGTTAATCTTTTCTGGCATTATACCTAATTTAAAAAGTTCAGGTTTAAAATCTACATGTTCTCCCAACATCTTTTCTAGCCAGACATGTATCTTTTTCCAATAACTCTTTACTTTGTCACAAGTCCACTAAACGTGATAATGAATGCCTGACTTATGTTTACATTTCCAACATCTATCTAACATGTTTTTGAACATTTTTGCTAGTCTTGCTGGTGACTAGTGCCATCTGTAAAACATTTTATATAATTTTTCTTTGTAGGAAGTTGACATTGTCAGTTTGTAATTTCTTTCCCATAAATTTTGCCATTTTTCTAATTCTATATTGTATCCAAAATGTTTTGCCCATCTTATCATTGTTTCTTTAACTTGTTCGCTTTCCATTTTCAAAGTAAATAGAAAATTATACATTTTCTTAATTAGTTTCTCATCAAAAGTTAGCAATGTCTTATCAAACACAGTTTGTTCCTTATAAAATCCATACAGTTTAACATCTTTATGATATCTAGCTTGCATTTGTAAATGTACCCACCATGATAAATTGATACCCTGATTTTCCATTTCTTGTTTAGATTTAAAATTCCCTTCAGAGTTTAGAATATTTCTATATGTCCAGATTTTTTCAAAGTTCACTAAATTTGGGTGTACAAATTCTTCCATGATTGACAACCACCCTGGAATTTTCAAATATATTTTACATTTTATTTTTTTCCATGTTGTTAATAATGCATTTCTTATATATTGATTTTGGAAATATTTATGAATTTTATTTTTCCCATACCATAAAAAAGTGTGCCACCCCAATTGTAAATCATGCCCCTTCGGATATAACAGTTATCCATTCTTTTACCCATGTTAATGCAGATGCTTGATAATATAAAACCCACTCTGGTAAACCAAGACCTCTATTTTCCTTGGCATCTTGTAACATTTTCATCTTAATTCTAGCTTTCTTTCCTTGCCAAATAAATTTCAAGATTAATAAATTTAAGCCTTCAAAGAATTTTTTCTCAAGTTTTATAGGTATTGTTCGGAATAAGAATAAGGTTTTCGGATTTATACAAGAAGTTTTATAGATGGCACCTTCCCCCTACAAGGCTAGCAAAAATAGATAAAAAAAACCTCACTGACATGCTGGAAGTGTAGAAGGCTTTTACTATCACATGTGGTGGGAATGTTCAAAGGAGCAAAATTTTTGGAATGGGATAAAAAATTGGCTGGAAGAAATATTATTACAAAAAACTGATTTAAAACCAGAAATCTTCTTATTGGGGATTATTAATGATAAACTCAGCAAAGCATCTTTTTACTTACTATTGCATATTTTAACCGCAGCAAGATTGACATACGCCCAAAAATGGAAAGGAAAGGAAACCGCCACTGAGGAAGAAATAATAAATAAAATTTTATCCTGCGCCAAAATGGACAACTCTAGAGATGAAAAATAAAACTGAAACAGAGTATTATGAAATTTAGAAAAATTGTACGATTGGTTAGAGATAAGGAGGATCGCTGAGATGATTATCGATTGACTAGTTGATATTATAAGGACTTCTTATTAGTACCTATATTAGGACACAACTGAATGATATGTAAATACAACATTGATGATTGAAAGATGGTTTATCAAAAAATTTACAGATGTTATACGCACAGTTTGTTATACTCTGTCCTGTTATAGAATGTATTTTAAGTTTCTGTTTTTCTTTCTGTAACATAAGGTAATATTAATAGCAATGTTGAAGCCAGGGAAGTTGAAGTCCACATGCCTTAAAATTGTCAAGGTTGAGAAACACTGGACTAGAAGAACTCCCAGGTCCCTTCCAATTCTAATATTCTATGTTCTGTAACCCAAGGAATTACAAACTCTTCATTCTGATTTTAGTGATGGGGAAATTACTAGAACATACCTTGGTATTCCTATGTTTATGTGGTAGGTTAGCAAGAATCTATCGATTTTTTTTTTTTCTTAAAACAGCAACGCAATAGAACAAGATCAGGGACTTAGCCCTGGCTGGCAACTAATGCTATACACCCCTCATTGATCATGGAGAAGAAATGCTGGCCAATCTGCTTACGTTTCTATGCTTATGTCTGAAATAATTACATTTATTTCTGAAAATTAGAGAAATGCTTGAAACATATCTCCTTTATAGGTTATAACATAAAAACCACAAATACAGTAAAACAAAATGGCATGGAGTGTCTGCTTAGGTAAGTAAATAGTTAAGCAACAGTGCTAGAGCTACGGATGAATTTTTGGCAAAATCCCATATACCATACAGCAGTGATGCCCTCACTGAACTTAATATATTACTTGGTTGAATCATTACCTAATTGGTGAGCACCAGACTACCATACAGTCTTAGCCCAAACCATTCCTAAAAGTGCACTTAAAATTAATCTAAGGAGGCTGGAGGAACATTTGTGGATTCCATTGACCAAAAAGCTTCATTTGACGGATCCAGGAGAGAGCCTTTCTGCTACCGGTATGTCACCTCCCTCTAGTCTAGAACATCAT